ATTATTGTTAGTCATCATGGCACAACGATGAGTCATTCTTTAAACCTGATCACTTCATACATTATTTTTAATATTATCGTTTGTTTTGGGAAAAATTAGTTTGTAGGGATTGCATTTGTTTCAGGTTAGAACACGGATTAATGCCAGTTAGAGAACCATTGAAAACCAGCACTGGAGTACTGGACAGGTGTTTCGTCCTAGTTTGGGACTCATCGGCAGTACTCCTTAACCACCGGGTTGCGAACCCATAACCATCCCGGTTACAAGTCAAGTTCGTATACTGGGGATATTTCGATTCCGATTATCAGAATTATGCAAAATTACCACAGCGATTCTTAGTATTGTCAGTTGATTGCACGCACGAATGTCTCTGTTAAGTATCACATAGTGATGAAATTAAAGCTTAATTCAATTGTAAAAACAGTGCAGTTATTATCATATCATTTCCACTTGAAATCCGGGTGGAACATAGGGCTTCAATAGCGCATGTCTACTTCGTCCTTTTCTCTGTAGTCCTCTTTAGATGGCTCCATGATGAACTATAAGCTCTCACTTCCTTCCCACACGATCTCTTCCATGTTACCCTCAGACACCCATATCGTCGTTTCCCATTCGGGTTCCACTAGAGGATTTGGTGCACGATGCTATTCAGTATAGTTACTATAGTACTACTACTACTGCATTCACATCCACAACATACTTACATATGTCTTTATGCAATATCATGAAGATTTTTAAATATAGAAAAGAATTAGCGGCCTGCTTGAATTACTGGGCTTCATGAATTTCCATTCAACACACGATGCATCAAATTTTCTCTATTTCTTATTGTTTCAAGTTTGAACACGGATAGGAGTCAGTTAGAGAACCACTGAAAACTAGAGAGTACTGGACAGCAGTTTCATCCTAGTTTAGGACTCTTCAGCGGTACTCACCCACAACTTTTAAAAGAGGCTGGACAACTTGGGTCAGAATCCAATGGCCCATGTTGTTGCATTAGAATAAATGCATTCGAGGTCTAGTTCATTCATAATCCCTGTTTTTGCTTTTGAATGATTCAACCTTACATATAATTATGTCTTCGGGTTGCAAAATGCACTCACCCAGATTTTTAATTCGTTTTCAGTCTAACAATGGGGTAAAGATAAAAGCTTACTGTGAGGTATTTTCTTCGTGGATATTATAGCAAACCTTGAAACAGTGATATTCCTGCTGTATAAAACAACAGGAAAAGAAGATAAAATTATTACCATTTACAAAACCATACGTAAAACCATACTCTCCGACCCCCAACATCCCCTCTATTCCCAACTCTCTCCTTGTATCTCATCAGGTAGAACCAGAAATCAGTATAAAATAATCTATGCTCGTACAACCAAGTACAGGAACTCGACGATACCATACTTGGCCCTTGTTCTAAGTGACAGAGACAATGTTAAGCACGAAACACATGACTTGATTTGTTGTTAATAATCATAATCTTAGGCTCTTTTATTTCTCTTTTATTTTGTATTCTATAGTGAACTCCTTCTTAAACATACTTAGCTATCTAAATGACTAACATTGGCTTACTTTTTTGTACTTTACTTTATTCCTTCTTTTGTGTATCTACTGGTCCCGAATATATTAGCACTATGAGTATTACAAAATTGTCCTGTCATTAACCATCATGTAATTATTAGTTTTTGTGGTTGTTTTTTTTCGGCAATATTAACTGACAATCATTGGTTGTGAACGCCATAGTCACCACCTTAAAAATTTTGTATTACTCAGGATTACTCACACTACCACTACAAACACTGCATCAGACCTGACAATAAAAAACAAAACAACAACCCTGAAATGTTATTTTATGATTGTTTAGAGTTGTTTCAACCAAATTAACTGATCATCTTGGCGATAAACATTCTTAAATATCATTTCATAACTTCTTGTATGACTACAGCTTTACTGTCACCATGCATAATCATATCATAGCTTCCACTACCCAATACTGAGTTGTTATTATTATATGATGTTTATTTTCCTTTCTACTTCTTGGTACTTTTTCGCATTTTTAAAATTATTTGTGTTTTTTTGCTGTTGTTTTCTTTATATTTATTCTTTTGGAATACTCCTTTTTAATGTTTGATAAAATTAGATGCAAATATTGTAGATATGTGCTGAAAATTCCACACTGTACCACTAGTACTGTTTCTGGAATAAAGCAAATTATTATTATTACTATTATTAAAATAAATTGTATAAAATGTAAGACATTACATCGGTCAAAGTGGGTATCCTCTTCGAATCCGAATCCAAGGAAAAAAGTTAGCTTTAGAAAGGCATGATAAATATACTTTCATATCAATGCATGTAGATAGTAATGGACACCAGTTTGATTGGCATAATGTAGAAATTTTAAATAGCGGAAATACCAAAGCCTGGTACTCAAGTGAATCAGCCAGCAATTAATAAACACACTATTATAGACCAAATTTTGGTATTAGATGGTATTTGGTATTAGAATTCAGTCTGCAGCGAAGATAGGACTAGACGCATTACACTAGTTACTGACTAGTGTGCAATCAAAAATAGACCAAATTTATCAGCTAATAAAAAGTAAATCACGTGACAAGAAAGTTCAAATTCCAAGTCAATAAAAATGATCAATAGAGATGTATGTAAATCAACAAATAGTCACGAAGATGTTAGCCAGGAAACACAATTATATCATTCATGAAGAATTTAAATCAGTTCATTTTACACTAAAACGTGCTCTGAAGGAAGATGAAAGCTCCGCAATTAAATCAACCAGCTCAGAGAACACAACTAATTCAATATCTGGTTACAGGATTTCATCATGAGCTGACATTGGTTAGAGAACCATTGGAAAACCTGTTTCGTCCTAGCTTGGAACTCTTCAGCAATACGCACCCACCGGGGTTCGAACCCAGGACCTTCTGATTACAAGGCGAGCTCGCATACCATTAAGCCATACCATACCGGGGTTCGAACACCGGTGGGTGCGTACTGATGAAGAGTCCAAAACTAGGCTGACGAAAGAGCTGTCCAACAAACCAATACTTGAATAATTCAATATCTACCTGAGGAAATTCAAAATCCTAATCGGACCACCTCCACAGTTCTACCTATTCACGTACAGGGAGATGAAAGCACGGCATATCCTCACTCCTAACAGTGTGCATTTCTCAGAGATGAAATAAAAAAATATCTTAGGTGATTAGGTTTATGCTTCAAATGAGACAGCATCACCATAGATCCTGGATGGTGAAAATATTATGCAGTAAATTACACTGAGAATTATGTATATTGTTTATCTTATTAAGCTAACAGAATGTTGAATAGGTAGTTCAATGGTAGAATACTCGCCAACTACGGTACATGGTTGAGGTTTAGTGCAAGCAGCCGATGCATCCCTGAAACCTCACCAAATTTCACACCAGTTCGCAGTAAGCACTTAAAAGAGGGAAGGTTGGGTTTTTTAAATAACAGGATGGGTGGATGTTACTTCCTGACTGCTTACTCCATCGAAGTTAGTTTTTTTCTTTCTTGGAGTACCTGAAACAGAAAGAACAGTAGTGTTGCGTTACCGTAAACCCATGGGACAACTGCTTGAGACCTGTCACACACGGTCTGTTTGAATTGATTTGTGTTCCTACTAAAATCTTATCGCTAGTTACAGACCACTGCAAAGCAAGTCTATATGTACAGTTTTCGGAGTTTATCTTTTCTAACCCTCTCCCCTAAATCTTCAGAGCGGAAAAGACTGTATAGCCGGCTTGCTGGTCATCGAGGGGAAACACCTTGGTATTAGATGGTTGGAGGCAATCGGCAGGAAGCCTTGGACCTAGGTTTCGTGCTAGTTGGCACTCATTAGCAAGGCGTCTCTGACTGCAGCACTGAGTGACGCGGGTTCGAATCTCAGAAGGGACATCAGTTCCTTCAAGGTTGCAGATACGCTTTGCTGATGAGTGCCAACTAGCTTCCAAGGCTTCCCGCCGATTGCCTCCAACCATCTAATACCAACAATTCACAGTTCACCGTAATGGCGAGCCACCTAGCATGGTGGCCACATTGCAAACATGACTGATAGAATTCAGTCTGCACCGAAGATAGGACTAGACACATCACACTAGTTACTGACCAGTGTGCAATCAAAAAAGAAACACCTTACACCCACATTCGCTAGCAGAACAACTTCGCCAACAGATCCCCCAAACATATAGCGTAAATGACTTACGATATGACGCGATAACTGCTATTAGTCTAATCACTATATCCAACAACGTTCCTGGCATGTTAAGACCTGCACAGGAACATTACTTTTAGCTAGCTTGTATCACTCGTCTATCAAGGTAGCAGTTATTAAAGTTCTTCGAATCTCACTTTTGTGTAGCTAAATGACAATTTGAACTGCTACACTTCTATGCTAGCTAGGTAGGTTCCATGTGAATCAATGATGCTGTGATCTTCAACTTGAACCATCCTGTGTGTTCTTCACTCGGAATGCCAAGACAGAATATAAAGAAGAGATAGTAGTAAAATCCACAGTCTGTCTGTCTGTTTTCGACATAGAACTTTGCACTGATGTGCGGCAGTTCAAGTCGCCACACTCCCTCCAATTAGCACACAAAGCAAGAGAAGAAAGTAGGAGAAATGCATAATATAGACAGTAAACAGAGGTGTGAGACAAAGGAGTAGTAATAACGAAGAACGAACAGTTTCATCGGAAATCGTAAGTCACAAGGAGTGGATGCATCTGCGCCACTGAGAACGATTTTGAGCCATGTCACCAATTGTTCCCAACCATTGGTTTTTACCGTCCCGAGGACCCCAACCAGGAAGTCTACATCTGCCTACGTGACTTAGACTAACTGTTGTGGATTTCATTGACTGGTGCCAAGTTTTCGTTTGACCGCCGCTAGCTCTTTTCCAGCCTGGCCCTATATCAGCTAACATTGCCCGTCGAGGAAAATAAAATAAAATAAAAATAAAATCCACAGAATATTGTTTATTTACTTATTTATATGTATACATATGTATATCTTAGAAAAGTGAAAAGAATAGAATAAACAAACAAACAAACAAAAATAGTGAAAGATAAAATTAAGAAAGGAAAAACAATCAAAAATACAAGAACAAAAATAATAAATAAAGGCGAAAAGAAAATACGCAATCAAACACTAAAGGCAAATAGATAAATAAACAACGGGGAATCATACAAGGTCAGAGAGAGAAAAATAAGGCTCCTGTTAGTTACAGACCATTGTCAAAAAAATAAGGATCCATGGATGATATCATTGATGTTATTATTCATACATCATTTTACGTGCGCACCTCTCTCTCCTTCTCTACAGTTATCGTAGCAGAGAAAGTTGTATGCTTACATTGATTTACACACACACACACAAACAGAGACAGACAGAGGGAAATTTACACTCCTCACAGTGAAGAGACAGTTAAACCAATGAACCCTGGCAAATAAAAACCACACTGGTCAAAGGATAATGAGATATGTCATAATAAACAAACAGAGTCACATATACATACACATATGCCCATCCATCCATCAACACCCACCCACCCAGCCCAGTTACCAAATTATGCAGCAATGCGTGGGGCGGGGTGGAGTGGGGGAACAGATGTATTAGAAGTAGAAATCACAGACGTGTGCTTCTTGGTAGGATAAACCAACCAAATTACAAATAATGGAAAAATAATAGTGATAATAGTAATAATGTTACTGAGTACGCATCTTCACATTACTGTATGTACCCTGAAAATATGATTTTGCACAACTTCATTGTGTTTTGATAAGGTCAGAAGGAATGGGGGGCGGGGGTTGAAGAGAGGATCCAGATAACATTGGAATGAAACACCAGAAGCGGTCAAGTGCGCGCACACACACACACACACAAAAACAGGACTCACTAACCCATGGGTGTTGAGTATGTGTGCTTGTGCATGTGTTTGTGTATGAACAGATCACAGGAAATGTCAAAGGTAGTGTTTACACACACACACACACACAAAGACAAGGAAATTAGAAAGAAAATAAATTCAAGTCAAGTTTAGACCTTCTGGATAATAATAATAATAATAGTAATAATAGGAGGGGAAAAATAAGAGAAAATAAAAACAAACTAATCTAGATAGCTTGTATCAGGGGTTACGTAATTCCGTAATATTAAAATAACAATAATAATAATAACAATATACTATGTGTATATGTGTGTATATATATTTATAGACAGATATTTATATAGACAAGGGAATGTATACAAATATAACCTCACTCTTTGTATATGCGCTAATTGAACCTCTTTGATACACATGCACTTCCATTGGTCAATGGCTTACTATTATTATTGCTATTGTCATTAATATTATTGCCACACTCATTACCATCAATCAGTTTTGTTGATTTCATATAGGAAGATGAATTTGTGTTATTAGTTGCAGTTGTTGTTGTTGAAGTATTGTTGACTGTTGTGGTGGGAGTATTCAGTGAATTTTCGGTTTTATGATTACTAAGATTATTACTATCAACATCATCTGACTTCTTATTACTATTATTATTATTATTATTATCACTAGAGACACCATCATCTTCGCGTACATCATCGCATGCTTCCAAAGGACTGGTCAATAGTCGAACAGCCATACGTAAAATGAACTAATGGAAGACAACAACAACAAAAAGAATAATTATTAAAATAAGTAAGTACATGAACATAACATAAACAGATACTTTCTAAGAGGATTATCAAGATAATCATTGAAAAAAAAGAAAACCTCCTATAATGAGGAGACACTTTAAAAAGAATGTAATCCATCATGTTGGGAACAAGAGACAACTGTGGTACATTGATATACACCTCCGACCAATTAACCAGTGGACCACAGATTTGTAAACCACTTTATATCTACTGAGATGAGGAGAGCTGTGTGGGTGGGGGTATTAAGGTGCTCACCAGTCACACTGGACATTTATTTGGGTTCGAATCCCAGCTGATGCAGTTATAAAATTCGCCCAGAGTTTACATACCAGCAGTAAGAGCCCAGGAGAGGGGAGGTTAGGAGCAAGGATGATAACATCCATCGCTACTGAGAGCGACATATATCTATACAGAGTATGTATGAGATGAAATTCTGTCTGTCTGCTTTTGACATAGAACTTTGCACATATGTGCAGCAGTTCAAGTCGCCACACTCCATGTTGCACACAAAGCAAGAGAAGAAAGTAAGAGAAATGAATAATAATATAGACAGTAAACAGAGGTGTGAGACAAAGGAATAGTAATAACGAAGAACAAAACAGTTTCATTGGAAATCATAAGTCACAGGGAGTGGATGCATCTGCGCCTGCCATTGAGAACGATTTTGAGCCATGTCACCAATTGTTTCCAACCATTGGTTTTTACCGTCCCGAGGACCCCAACCAGGAAGTCTACACCTTCCTACGTCACTGGCTTAGACTAACTGTTGTGGATTTCATTGACTGGTGCCATGTTTTTGTTTGACCACCGCTAGCTCTTTTCCAGCCTGACCCTATATCAGCTAACATTGCCCGTCGAGGAAGGCGATGACTAGGCATACGTAACACATGTCCTAACCATCTCAGTCGATGTAACTTCACAGCCTCGTCGATTGATTTCCCCTCCTTACCTACCACTCGACGCCTAACCTCAATATTGCTCACCTTATTATACCACTTCACACGGGAGATAGAACGCAGACACCTATGATCGAAGACAGCTAATCTTTTCATGTCTTCTGCTCTCAATGGCCAGGTCTCACAGCCATGAAGGAGGACGGAGCGGACTGTTGAGCAGTACACACGCCATTTGGTCGATAGTCGGATATCACGTCTACGCAAGAGACGGCGAAAACTGGCATATGCGAAACTGGCCCTCTGTATCCGTGCTAAGATTTCGTCAGAGATCTACCCGTTGGGGCTAATGGTACTTCCCAAGTAACTGAAGGGGTCAACGTGCTCTACCACTTCACTTAGTTAAAAGTAGTGAACTAAACTAGGCATGTAAGGCGTAATCACATAAACCAACTAATCAAATCAAGGAGCATATTCTCTCTAATGATTTAGAGGTTTTTAGTTAAGAAGAACAAAAGACAATGTACAAAATCGACTAACTCCGTGTATAAGCTGACGTTATTCAATACGGAAACTGAAATAATTGAATCGTAAGCCATATGAATTCATTTAAAAAAATCTACTATATAATAGGTTTACACCTGACTCTTATGAACGAGTTCTATGCTTTAGGGTAACTGGTAACTATTTTAGTGTTCTATGGAATCACAGCTCGCATTTCCCATTATTACAGGAGGTGAGATTGGAGGCAAAATAGCAGTCAAATGGAATAATCTCGAAATGCTTTCATATGACCACACGTTCATAACCCCAGCCAGGTAACTCCTATAAACTGCTTTTACGCGACGGTGGTGTTCCTCACAAGACTGTAAGGGTAAGTGGGAAAGTCTGGCACTTACAATCGGATCGATGGACTTGCTAATCTACCCTAGGGGAGAAAAAAACCTTGGTTCCAAACTTATGGTGTACATGGACTCCAGAATCCAATCGGGTTGAATGGTGTACAAGTTTGTACTGGACAGCGGAAACCATAGGAACTTAGTTCCTAACGCAACTCCTGAGGAACAAAGACTCAGGGAGTGGGGTGTAGCCCCTCTTGAGGCAGCCAACTGCTTCGACTCGGATGTTCAGGCAGTAACCCCAGCCCTCACATTAACTATGAGATTTTGTTTGGTGCACCACCTCTGGGTGCTCATAATATACCAAGTTTTTGTTTGAATAACAATGATAATAATCTTCAGTACATTACAGCGATATCAATCAGGATGAGAATAAAATCACACAGTAATAATCGAGACATAGTAAATAAGTTACACAACGGCTTATTCAATGGAACTTTGTGAATTGTCGTCTACATAGAGGCATTCAGTTCTGAGAGTGGAAAATGTCTAACAAAACAGGCAGTCTTTTGTCAAATGATAAATCTCTCGCAAAAATGGATAGTATAATATAATAAATATGTAATCCAATCAGGGAACAATAGGTCTTTGACACACACACTTCAAAGTAGCAGGCAGTATCACCACCATACACTGATTTTGAATAGATATCAATCATCAGTACGATAGACACATCACTAAATGTATCACGGATGATTGACATGCATAAATATAAAAGGATGAAGATCAGATAACAAGCGACTAGATACTCGATGACTTGTTCTCACCTCACTCTACCATCACCTTATACGCACAAATTGCTTAACACGACAATTTAATTTATACACACGGCACAGATAAGATAGACAGATTTTTATCAATAAGTGTGATAAAAAAAATGAATCAGCGTTTCTATAAAAATAAACACAGACCCAGTTTACAGACAAGCTAAGCAGAAAATATTTATATATATTTCGGCAACATAAGGAGATTGTACTATCTTCAGAAAGCAAACAAGAACGCCACACAAATATCAATCGGTATCAAGACTTTATTCCTCAAAATCTGTGTCCAGCTGAAAAGAAAAATCGTTCGGTGTTTAGTTTGGGTATATTAATTAACATACTGATGTTAACACGCCGTACATATATACACTTTATCAACAGTGTCAACTGAATGATGCAAAAAAAACAAATAAATAAATAAATTAATTAAAGAATCATTGCACTACATACCGTAAACCAATATATATGCATTAGAAATAATCCCCATAGCATGGAATTAAAGAAGAGGAAACCTCGACTTTCTCGTCCAACTAAGGCAATATAAGCACCCCAAGAAGTAGCGTATAATACTTTCAAGGGATACCAATACAATCGTAAAACAACCCTAGAATGAAGAAGAAACATGAACACAATGAAAGCAAAAAAAGATACAAACAGAAATGAAAGTCATCACATTATTTGTGATAATACCACAACAAGGTGTCATAATTCCACAACAGAAACAAGACATAAAAAGATTACTTCATACATTAGCTATGTGGATTAGATTCTGAGATCATTATTACCATTTCCTTGAGTTCCACGAGTGGAACACACAGGGATTCACAGAAAGCACATCTCAATTTCACCCTGTTCTCTGTAGCCTTTTTTTTAGCTGGCTCCACGATCTCATCCATTTTTTTAAGATCTTTGATTATAGCTTGATTCCACACCATATTTTCGGTACAAGTACGGAATTTTCAGCATGTGATATCGGTAGCCCAAATTTTGCAGGTCGACCATTGATATCGGGTGTGCGTCGGCAGGGGATCGAACCCCGGACAATGTGCATGGTCCACAAGAGTCCTAACCGCTGTGCCACCGACGCACATGTCACCTTCACACCCACGCTCAACTTGTCGCTTTCCATTTAAGAGTCTGGCTGGCGCGCGTGATTGCACTCAACGGTTTCTTCACCTTAGGTCCAATCCATCTCCATTTTCTTCTGTATACATAATGCTAGATCCCCATTTTCTATATGATAAATTATGAAACAGAATTCCTAATCCTAATATCTGGTTGTATCATCAATACCTATGGATACATATAATCTTCTCCATACAGGTTATTTTTGTTTCAAAGTATGTTCTAATCAATATTCCATAATGGAAATTTCTATTTCTATCAGTAACCATTGACAGTCTCATGTAAAGTATTGCGGATCTCATCTACATGAGACGATTTAAACAAAAGCACTACCGTTCGTAATGCTACAAACAAAATAATTGAGATTATTCACCAGTGAGCAATAACTTCATCTCTGAATATACCTTTATTAGAGTATTTATGTTATTGGTTGTAAAGATACTAGTTATATTTATTTTATGTGATCAATAAGAAAATAACACAGTTATCTATGTTAAAAAAGTAAGGAAAAGGAGGCAGATTAGCACTTTCAGGTTCTAAGTTCGATCCCTGATGGAGTCGGTCATCATGGGTGCGTGTGTTTCTGAAGAGTCCCGAACTAGGACGAAACAGCTCTCCAGTACTTTCTGATTTTCAAGGGTTATATATATCTGACTTTCGATTTGTAATTTACCTTGAAATCAATCAAATCATTGGATAAACAACACTTTTGGAATCTTCTATAGTTTGGTTTGTAAGGATTAGTTATGTTTTACGAGTTGATCACGGACTGATATCAGTTAGAGGACCATTGAAAACCAGGGAGTACTGGACAGCTGCTGTTTCATCCTAGTTTGGGAATCATCGGCAATACGCACCCACCCACCACGGTTCGAACCCAGGACCTTCCGGTTACAAGGCAAGCTCGTATACCATTCAGCCACTGGGATCCGATTCAATGGCCAGTCCATGAATTCTAACTTCTACCAATTCGTGATTTCAGCGCGACCCCAACCATTGTCGTTGGTGGGACATCCATCCACACACGTGATATCTAATTGGACCTCAATGGTCACGACTTCTCACTAGAACTCCAGGAAGCTCCAACCTGTAGCAACGCTGTCATCAACGAAGAACAATGAGGAATAATCCATCTTGTATATATAAAAATACATACGTCAATAAAATATGTTTACTTTATACAGTACAAATTATTATACTAGAAACGCATATAATATACTGTGACTTACCATGAAGTAGAGAATAATACAAAAAAGATATTGGCAATAGTCATATGAATTGGATGAGATTTACCGTGTCGAATACGTAGATAAATATTTACTTTAGCCAATTCTAAGAAGACATCGCATAAATCATGCAGAAAGAGTACCAGAACACCAACACGATGAAGTCTATATAGGTAAAAGGAGACAAAGAGAAAGAGAGAGTAAAAAGGTGAAAAATTCTTTACAGGATTTCATCATGAGCTGACATTAGTTACAGGACCATTGGAAAACCTGGGAGTACTGGACACCTGTTTCGTCAGCCTAGTTTGGGACTCTTCAACAGTACACACCCACCGGGATTCAAATCCAGGACCTTCTGGTTACAAGGCGAGCTGGTATACCATTAAGCCACTGGGGCCCGATCCAATGGCCGATGTATCAATCCTAACTTCTGCCAATTCACGACATAGCGCGACCCCTACCCAGTGTCTCCGGCGAGTATTTGTCCTCACACCCGACCTGCTGCACCCTACTGGTCACGACTTCTCACTAGAACCCCAGGTAACTACCTACCTGAATAGAGCAAGTCGCTAGTGAGCATCTCATTGATTCTCTAATTCACAAGATTTGTGAATAATTTGTTTTTACTCACATATGAATCAATCGTTTTAGATGAGTTAATTTCAAACCTCCATCGAATTAGAAGAAGGTAATGGAAAGAAAGACCATGAATTGAATATAATAATAATTATTATTATGTAATCAGGAGCCACAAAGTGCTCGCTATAATACATGGAAAGAAAGTGACAGGAATAAAAAATGAGTGAAATATGTAAGTCTAAGGAAATAGCGTCTGTATGACTCCGGCAAGGAGCGCACAAAGAGCATTTCCTAAATCAACAATTAATCAATGACTGCAAGCAATGCTGCTATGGCCTAGTTTGGTCATTCTTCAATCTCTTTCAATCTATTCATACTTCGGTTAATATGTTATGTTGAGTAAATCTTGATATTAAGATTTATTAAATTTCTAGACAAATTTATACACTTAAACTCAGAACTGTATTTTTTTATCTAATTTCAACACTGCTAATCTAATCAATCCATGAAACCAATAGTTTAACAGCTTGTTTTCTTGACCTCAATTACTTACATGAGCACGTGGTTATTGTTTGTGTATTTTTATTTATTTGCAATAGTTATTCTGCCAATGTATGACCTAGAGTTTTATTGTTATTTCTTGTTTTATTGCTTTGAATAGCTTACGTGAGTTTTTAATAAGTCTACTGATCACGCTGATCAATTTGAAAGTCAAAATTCTGAAAATTCTCTGATATTTTTCTTTCTTCCAATTGAACTCGAAGGCGAAAACCAGCAGACTGGCTGAAGAGGCGGGCAGTGAAGACAGGACTCCAGGTGAATATAGAGAAGACGGAGGTGATGAAGACAACCAACTAACTAACAGCAACCAGCACCGATCACCATCAAGGGGAGAGATTTGAGAGAGGTTACTTCCTTCACTTATCTAGGAAGCATCGTTTCAACTACAGGCGGACGAAACGGATGAAGATGTCAAAGCCAGTCAGCCAGAATGGGAAAGGCAACCTAAGAGAAGTTTGGAAATCCTCTGCAGAACCAGATTTAGATTTTCAACACAAATGTGAAGTCAGTCAGTTCTTCTTTAGGGGTCAGAAACTTTCACTGCGTGTCACAAAAAGGATTTGCTACAAGTTTCAGACTTTTATCAACAGCTGCCACTTTCTCTGGCTCTATACTGAAGATCAGGTGGCAGACCAGAAAGAATTAGTAACAAGAAAATCTTTCTGGCAACAAATCAAACAAGAGCCGATCGCTGAACAAATATGTAGAAGATGAAAATGGATTGGGCATATGTTGAGGAGGCTGTTGAATGACATCACGCGCAATGCAGGCCTTCATTCGAGAGGAATCCAAATGAAAAGAACGGGTGGGTTGTCGCTGCGGGGGTGACATAGAAGAGGAGGAGATGAGATGGGCGACCGTGGACCCAACTGAAGAGGAAGGTAGAGAATAGAACAAAGTGGAGGTGTGTTGTTGAAGCTCTATGTTCCACGCAGAAACCAAGAGGATAATAATACTCGAATTAGTGTCTACAGCTGTTCACTTTGAACGCCGGACAATCATATTTTCCTTTAACACTTGGTATGGGGTGGGGGTTAGTAAGCCTGTAGATTACAAGAAGATTATCATCTTTTACCCACTTCACCTTTTGCATGTATCTAAATATTTGTTGTTTGTGGTCTCTCTACTTTTTTTAAATTGATAATTTGCTGAATGCACTTCTGATTTCAGAGGTAATAAATACTGAATTTCAAAAAACACAAGACGGTGAAGAGAAACATTTCATCGACAAGCAAACTTCATCTAGAAATGATTATTTTGTTGAACCACATTACACTTAATTTATCCGGGTGCAATCAATGTTCACTTTATGATATTTAAACCATTCAAATGTCTCTACTGAAAGTTAAACACACACTACAGCTACACTAAAGTATGCCATTGTAGAACGGACGAACAACCAAGTGGCCTCAAAGTAAAAAAAACAGAAAAGCAATTGTGCATAACGGAAAACTCTTATATGTTCCAACAACATCTCTAAGTTCGTCGATGGAGTAGTCATAAGTGTTAGTCCTAACCGATTTCTGTACATGAATTCATCCGGAAAACTGTATATCATAATATCAGTGCTCATGATCCATTAATCACCCAAATTCTGTTCTTCAAATGCTTACCAAATCAGATGGTACAATCATTTATTTCATTAACCTCTCACCAGCTGTGTACAACCTAAAGAAATTATAAAGTTTAAATACAGAACAAATTTAACATCCTCGCAAATATCACATGATGATATTTGATAGTTGGAGGCAATCGACAGAAAGCCTTGGACCTAGGTTCCATTCTAGTTGGCACTCATCAGCAAGGCGTATCTGCAACCTTGAAGGGACTGATGACTGCCAACTAGCACGAAGCCTAGGTCCAAGGCATCCTGCCGATTGCCTCCAACTATCGAATATCATCAAATCAACGTGCACCATGATGGCGAGCTACCTAGAATGGTGGCCACATTGCAAATACCTGACTGATGGAATTCAGTCTGCGCCGAAGAAAGAACTAGACACGTCACACTAGTTACTAGTGTCCAATCAAAATATCACATGATATCAGTTGACAGGAGCCTCCAGACTTAATAAACAGTACTACTCAGAAATCAAACGTATATAGTTTATACCCACCTACTTCAAGTTTAAACAAAAATAACTGCCTGGATACGATGGCGAAAGAGTTACGTACTAAAGACAAGAGGTGAGTAAGATAGATGATGAATAATTAATGAAATGAGTCACAATGCGGTAAGTTCAACTCAAATCATAGAAACAATAGACAAGCAGAGTTACCTTGGAGGTACAATTCCAGTTTGACAACACTCTTACCACCAAATAGATGGTGTAGCCATGGGCAGTCCAATTAACCCTGTTTTCGCTGACATCTTCATGTCCAACCCTGAGAGAACAAAGGTGAAGCATGCAGTCGATGAAGTAGTTTATCATCGATACGTCAATGACACCATTTGGTACAGTGCAACTATGAAAGTCATGCTTCCTACCTACACTCAGAGCATTCAGCGGCGCACATACAAATATTAAATTCACTACAGAGCATGAGAATGATGGAAAGTTTCATTTCCTTGACATTGCCGTGCAGCGCCTGGAAGATAGTAGCCTCTAGAGATCAATTCACTGAATGGAAAATACGTACATTTTAATAGTTTTTGTCCAAGTACCAGTCAAAATTCTGTTTTATAGCGTCAGGAGAATATGCTCTACAGAAAAATTAGAGAAAGAATTTCTGACTCTTAAAAACATCTTGAGAAGCGACGGTTACCCTCAGAAATTCATTTACAAGTACGGAAGATGTGAAAGCTCAAGTACCAAACAAATCACAGTGGAGGAGAAGCCTATCTTCCTTCAAATCGACTTCAAATAGGATAATACTGCAGAAGATTGAATACCTAACTAACTAATCAGAACTTATAATGCAGCTAAAATAGTTCTCGTTTATCGAATAACATGGTCTACGGTGAAATCGAAGGTCGACATACACTCTTCTTATGTTAACTCTAACTGTGTATGCAAATTCACATGTTTCTGGGGGAGAAATTACACTGAGAGAAGGGAAAGAAGGGCACATCTGAACATGTACCAAAAAGCCCATGTTTCAAGGGAACAAATGCCTACAATAATGGCATTTCTAGATATCTCATCAATACGGGTCATGGAGTGGATATCAAGAAATCCTATAAAATTATAAAAAGATAAAACAGTTCAATCCTGCTCAACTTAGACGGAGCAACAGCTATCGAACGCCTGGAATCCAATTTATGTGTTCAGAAAGAAGCAGTTTTCAGTCTTTCCTTGCCCTGGTAATTGGATGTCTTTATTATCACTATCATTTGATTACGTAATCCTTGGCTTTAACCTTGATCCACTTTTACATAGAGTCATTTTACTTGGCTCCTGTTTATATGACTTGAGGTGAACTCACAACATTATGACTCATTTCATTAATTATTCATCATCTATCTTACTCACCTCTTGTCTTTAGTATGTAACTCTTTCTCCATTGTATCCAAGCAATTATTTTTGTTTAAACTTGAAGTAGGTGGGTATAAACTATATACGTTTGATTTCTGAGTAGTACTGTTTATTAAGTCTGGAGGCTCCTGTCAACTGACGACATGTAATATTTTGATTGGACACTAGTAACTAGTGTGACGTGTCTAGTTCTTTCTTCGGCGCAGACTGAATTCTATCAGTCAGGTATTTGCAATGTGGTCACCATTCTAGGTAGCTCGCCATCATGGTGCACATTGATTTGATGATATTTGATAGTTGGAGGCAATCGGCAGGAAGCCTTGGACCTAGGCTTCGTGCTAGTTGGCACTCATCAGTTCCTTCAAGGTTGCAGATACGCCTTGCTGATGAGTGCCAACTAGAATGGAACCTAGGTCCAAGGCTTTCTGTCGATTGCCTCCAACTGTCGAATATCATTATGTGATATTTGCGAGGATGTTAAAATTGTTCTGTATATAAACTTCATAATTTCTTTAGGTTGTACACAGCTGATGAGAAGCCAATGAAATA